TATACATAACATAACATTTGCCATCTCAGTCATTTTTAAGTGGTGTTCAGTAGTGTTCAGTGCATTCACATTTTGTAGTAGAGCCTGGACTTTTAAAACTAGTCATCTATGCTTTTTGCTAAGAATTGCTTCTTGAATCTGCAAACCTAAAATTTCAAATTATCGGGAACAGAAGCTACAATTTCTGTTTTAAAGTGTTTGCTCTTATGTAGGGAGTTCATCTGTCTTACCTTTTACTGTATTTACTGTACTGCTGTCTTGACTATATTTCCAAGCCCCTAGCACAATGTGTGGCATGTAGTAGGTCTTCAGTAAATATGTATCAAGTAAATAAATTTGTAAACTATAGCATGTCACACAGTCTGTAAAACATACATGCTATATAAAAAACCGTGTATATCCAAATAATTTATTTAAAATGTATAGTATATCAGTATGTTTTAAAACAATATTTAAAAATGACTTGAAGCAACGAAACTGGGGTTGTTTAAGATAAGTAGTATTAAAGAACTAGAGAAAAATAATTATCAGCTCTCATGAAAGTCAAATAGATACTGTCTTTATGTAAAAGGCATTTTGCAACAACACTAAATAGGATACAAAGTTATACTAACAAAAAGAAACTAGTGTTTTGAGAAGATTAGATACTAAGATATTAATACTTAACCACATTTTAAAGCAGTATGAATGTGTATTCCAAGTGAGTGGCATAGGCTACATGTACCATTTAACAAAGGGCAAGCTTTATTTGTTTATTAACTTATTCAATAAATATTTTTGATTTGCTCCTTCGTGTCAGGCAGTGTGCCAAGAGTTCTAAACGTGACCAAAGCAGAGACCTTGCTTTGAAGAGTTTGCAGTTCAGCAGGGAAGAACAGACATTACACTTAAAAGCATTCAACAAAAATGTATGGGGCACCTACTATGTGCCTGACATTCTTGTATTTATTGAGAACACAAAACCAAATAAGATATGGCAAAAAAAAAGGAGCATCGTTTCCTCTTGGGTGAGGAAGGGAAAGCTTCCAGACAAGATACCTGAGCTAGATCTTGAAAGCTCAGTCAGAATCTACAAGATCAATGAAGGGAGGAGTAAGAAGGATAGAAAAGCATTTCTGAAAGTAGGAACAAGATCAGTAAACCACAGAGGTTTGAAATAGTCCCAACACAGGTAGCGTTCTGTGAGTAATTTACTGTAGTTAGCTTGTAAGATATATATGGAAACAGGGAAGAAGATGGGATTGGTGGGAAAGCTAGCAGCCAAAATCATACAGGACCTTTTGTGGTACTTAGGACTTGTATTAGTGTATGGGTTTAAATAAGGAAGCAACATGGTCATATTATGTTTTAGAAAATTGGCTAAATTGTGGTGAGAAAGAAACCTGGAAGCAAACAGTGCAGTCGGAAAACTAAGGCAGACAATCAGGATGGAGAAAAAGATGAAATTGCCTGAAATTATGGGAATGGATAGGAGGGTAAGAGTCTACAAACATGTTGAATGTTAAATTCAAAAAACAAACAAGCAAACAAAAAAACCCCTCAGTGACTAATTAGATATGGAGAGGGGAAAATGTAAGATAACCTTGAAATTTCTATTCTATTATTATAATTTCTAGTTATTGCAGGTGAAATAACTCAGTATTACTTCTTTGTGAAGGAACATGATTCTACTGTGTGTTCTTATTCTCTTTACTGCATTGGCTGATGGTTACTTATCATTCTGTATCTTTCTTACCTGAAATCTAAGAATTTAAAAAACTTCTAAAAGGAAAATTGTAGTTTTTTTTCAAGTTATAAAGGTAAGATGTGCTCATTATATAAAAATTCATATAATAGAGAAAGATGTAAAAGCTGTTATATAGTCTAGAGGAAAGTAAAAAGCAACTGAAATTATTTATGTAATTAAATTTTTTTGGGTGACAATGGTTAGTAAAATTATATAGGTTTCAAGTGTATATTTCTATAATACAGCATCTATATATTACATTGTATGCTCACCACCCAGAGTCAGTGCTCCTTCCATCACCATATATTTGATCCCCTTTACCCTCATTTACCACCCGCCTTCCCTCTTACCCTCTGGTAACCACTAAACTATTGTCTATGTCTATGAGGTTTTGTTTCTTCATTTGTTTTTCTTGTTCCTTTGTTGTTTTCAGTTTTATATACCACATATCAGTGAAATCATATGGTTCTCAACTTTTTCTGTCTGACTTATTGCACTTAGCATAATAATCTCAGGATCCTTCCATGTTGTTGCAAATGGCAGTATTTCATCTTTTCTTATGGCTGAGTAATATTAAATTGTATATATGTACCACATCTTTATCTAATCATCTTTATCTAATCATCTATTTGGTTGTGTCCATGTCTTGACCACCATAAATAATGCTGCAATGAACATCGGGGTACATATATCTTTATGGATAAATGTTTTCAGATTTTTTGGGTAATCCCAGGAGAGGGATTGCTGGGTCATATGGTAATTCTACTCTTAATTGTTTGAGGAACCTTCACACTGCCTTCCATAGCGGCTGCACTAATCTTCATTCCCACCAACAGTGTATGAGGGTTCCTTTTTCTCCACAGCTTCTCCCAACACTTGTTATTATTTGTCTTGATGATAGCCATTCTAACTGGTGTGAGGTGATAGCTCATTGTGGTTTTGATTTGCATTTCCTTAATAGCTAGTGAAGTTGAACATTTTTCATATATCTGTTGGCCGTTTGTATATCTTCTGGGGAGAAGTGTCTGTTCAGGTCCTTTGCCCAGTTTTAATTGGATTCTTTGTTTTTTTGTTGTGGAATTGCCCAAGTTAAAAGCAACTGAAATTCTATCATCCAGGGTTAACTACCTGTAACACCTTGTTTCTGTATACTCCTGACTTCTCTATGCAAATACTATGTACATGTAGATAAATATTTTCTATAAATGGGATAATAATCTACCTGCCATTTTATAACCTACTTTTATCACTTTACCATATGTATTATACACATTATCCCATGCCAAATATGAATGCATATTATAATTTGTAACTGTGGAGTATTCCATTGTATGTGTATACCATCATCAATTTTCTATTAGGCATTTCGATAGTTTTAATTTATTTATTTGTTTATTTATTTTAAAGATTTTTTTATTGGGGAATTGGGGGAGGGGAACAGCGCTGGGGAATTGGGGGAAGGGGAACAGACAAGTTGTTCTTTTGTTCTTCAGTCTAGTTGTAGAGGACATTGCTTCACTGGCCCATGTTGGTATTATCATTGCGCTCTTCCCAGGTGAGGCAGATCAGTCTCCAGCCTCTGGACGGCTGCTCACAGCGGCTTTTGGCAGCTCACACCGGCTGCCAACTGCTCATGCTGGCCGCCAGTGACTCATGGCAGCCCAGCTCCAGGTCGAGCTGTTGTTCACCATCTTAGCTGTAGAGGGCAGTGTCACTGGCCCACATGTGGGATCCGAACTGGGGGCCTGCTGCTCAGAGCTGGCATCCCAAGCCAGCTCTTAACCAATGTGCCACACGGCCGGCCCAAACAGTAAATCTTGAATGTACTTTTAACCTCGTGATCATGTCTTGCTAGGGAGATCGCATCATGGATGAGGTAGCGGCTTGATCACTGCACTGTACACCTGAAGCTGATGTTGTATAATATTGTATGTCAACTATAAGTGAATATATATATGTGTGTGTGTATATATATATGGTCATGGGACATGGAGTATAGTGTGGGAGTGGAGTCAAGGGAATTGTAATATATATGTATGATATTGGGGGGAGAAGTGGGGCAGCGGATTGGGGGAGGGGGGTTGTCACCTCGAGGGGTAAAAGTGTAACTATTGCACTGTGTTGTACAGCTGAAACTAATTCTAAAAAATGTGTATTTCACAATAAAAAATAATAATTAAAAAAAAAACACAAAACACCTCATGATCACAATTGTCATTTCAGTTGAGTCTATTATTTAGTAACGACATTTAAATATGATACTTAGTACAAATGGGTATTTTATAAAAATGTTATTATAGTGTTCATTGATCCTGAGGCCAAAACTTTTCACTCCCAAAACTCAAAGACATTCCATTTTCTCAATAATAGGAAAACGTATTGTTACCTGTACATATGGTAAAACTTGAATAATTGTTTCAGAGATGATTTTCGTTAAGTTTATATAAGTGTGTTTTCACATTTAAAAATTCAGAATAATTGGTATATAAAGCAGACTACTCTAAAATTATTTAATTCACTAGATGTTATGACTATTAAGTTGTGTCCATTTCGGTTCCTTGTTAATGTATGTTTGCTTCAGTAGTGTTTTCCTTACTTGCTCACAGACATTTAAACAGAGGAAAAATAAATGAGACCCAGAGCCATGAAGGTCTTTTTATAAAAGTAGTCACCTGTTACCCAAGTTTAGAAATTATTTAATTCACACATCAAAAATAAGAAACCAGTTTTCAAAGTTTCCTACATTACTTGGCATAATCTAAGCTTTTAAAATTAACATAACCAAAGTAATGACTCTGTTTCAGTGAAACCAAATATACAATAAGGCTGTAAAACCTTTTAATGGCCATGTTAAAAACAGCCTTTTAATATAAATGGGCATTGTTACCCATTTATAGAGAAAATTGAAGCTTTGAGAGTTATTGTCAAATGGTACGAAGAAAGGAAACTAATATTTTGAGTACCAAATGAACCAAGCACTTTATTTTGGTGTTTTCCTGGTTATCTTATTTTAAATAAGTAGTTAATTTCCTGACAGTAAGTTTGATGAAGGTATTGATTGGTACAACATGTAACCACGTAATACTCATATGTCTCCATCTTACCAGTTCTTCCTGTTTGTTTTTTTTAATTTCTTTATTCAACTGTGATGGTTCACTCAGTTTTTAAATAATAAGAATGTCCTGATAGCCTGCTTTTTATCAGCTACTTTGCCCAGCTGCTTATATATCCATGGTTGATTATAATAATGATCTTGATCATCTTTCTTTCTTAGATTCCTGAATTTGACAACTTGTACCTGGATATGAATGGGATTATACATCAGTGTTCCCATCCCAATGATGATGATGTTCACTTCAGAATTTCAGATGATAAAATCTTTACTGATATTTTTCACTATTTGGAGGTGTTGTTTCGCATTATTAAACCTAGGAAAGTGTTCTTTATGGCTGTGGATGGTGTGGCTCCTCGAGCAAAGATGAACCAGCAGCGTGGAAGGCGGTTTAGGTAAAACATTTACAGTTTATTTTAGAATACTATTTAGATTAGTAAAAGACATTATTTTAACAATAACTGGTGTAACACAACGCATCTTCTTTCTGTTCATGTTTCTTTTCTACTTAAATTCTCCCAGAACTAGAACTGTCTCATACTTATAATGTCACATTTTATCAATCAAGTAAACAAATTAGTAATTGAAGTGATGTGTCATTTCTCAAAGTATATGTTGGGCTGTATAAAGTTACTCTGTTGTTCTCTGTCACAGATTTTTTAACCATCTCATTAGTAATTGGGAAATGGCAGTAGTGGAGAGAGTTCCCACAAGTAGTCCGCCCTAGCTAAGAAACTGCAGAGTAAACTGAGAGATTGTTCTGATGAGAATATCATTGACTTAATTTAGCTTAACAAACATTTGTTGAGTGTTCAGACTGAGCTAGATCTTGACTCTGGTTGAACATGGATACAGGGCAAGTGAGATGAGGAGGTGGATTGATGGAGTAGAAGAGAGCTGAGTTAGGATATGCGATGTATTATCAGCCTTTTGAGTTGGGTAGTAGAAGTAAAAGGATGAGAAAAGGTTGTACACAGAAAGAGGATTTTAAAGTCAAAATCCTGGGCATGTGGGATATTTCTGAATAGCAGTGAGTATGCTGTGTCCTTGTTTGAGTAGCAGAAATAAAGTTAGGATGGTTGTTGGAGTTGAAGGAAAGAAACTCTGAGTCCAGCATGTTTGATGAGTCGTTAGCAAAATGAATCCTTTCACCACAATGGCAGGTAAAGTAATGGAAAGGACACCAGTGAATCAAGGAAAGGGGGACAGAGCTTTGGAGAAGGCTAGCAGTGAGACTGGGAAGAGGGTGGTGTAAAGTACTGATTTAAATAGCAAAAGAGAAGAGAGACAATGTATTGGAACCTCTGTGAAACCCTTAACGACAAGGACCATCTCTTACTGAAATTTAGATTCTCAGGTACCACCCAAGACTTATTTAATCTGAATCACTAAAAATTGGGCTCTGGAAACCATTTTTACCAGATTCCCCTAGTATTTGATAAACTAGTTTTTGGGAGTTAATGGGCTAGAAAATCTAGTGTTGAGAATGCATTATATAAGCCCACTGTGTAAGTATTAAGTTGCAGGTCATATAAACCTAGCTATTTTAAGCAGAAAGGAATATAACAGAGAATTAGGTACATATAAAAATTGTTTTAAGAGCCAAAACAGTGGGAATCTAGGTGAGCCTTCAACAATGACTTCCAGAACATACCATACAACTGATCCACCAGTAGGCAGCACTGTTACTACCACATTTAAGAAGTTGAGGGCCGGCCGAGTGGCTCAGTTGGTTAAGAGCTCGCTCAAGAGTGCGAGCTCTGAGCAACAGCGGTTTGAGTCCCGGCCCGAGCTCAGCAGCCGCTGAGCTGCCAGCAGGTGGCAGGATGGCTCAGCTAAAAAAAAAAAAAAAGTTGAGAGGTTCAGATGCCCCACCAGGACAGGTGGTTCCAGGAACTTAGTCCTTTAACTGTGGTGCAGGGATTAGTAAACCACTCCCTGAACTGTTGGCTCCCAGAATACATCCCTTTAGTGAAAATTCAGCATTCAAGAAGCTACCATTGCATCTCTCAGCTCTAGAGCCCCAGTGCGCCTGCTCCATTTGTTCTGGCAAAAAAACAATGCCCTGTGCCTCACTTCCCAGCATCTGCATAGCTGCTGAATACTGAGGTTTCTTCTATTGATGAAACATACCTCTCAGCCCCAGTGCTCAACTGTCATGCAGGTTTTACCACACTTCTACCTTCCAAACCTTTAATGGAGGCATCTAACTGACAAAATCTAAGTCATATCCAGAAACCTAGCTGCAGGAAAACCTGAGAGTTTAAGTTTTTTTAGCTTTTCAACCTCTTCAGTATCAGTAGATGAACTAGGAATGGATATCGGGGCCAGTACACCATAACCACCCCAAGGATTTACTGAATACTGTGCTGGCATCGAGTGTCCGTCAGCTTATTCTCTACCACGACTGTTTTCTCCATTCATAATCTTTAATCATAGTCTTTCCATATCTCTTACTCATCTTAAAATCTGCCATCTGTCTTTCATCCGCACCATTACTTACAAGATTACAAATAGACTCCTTATGGCTAAATTTAAAGAATAATTCTGTCTTTATATTACTTCATTTGTCAATGGTATTTTAACCATGTTGACCATTCTTTGTCTCTTGAACATCTTCTCCTTGACCTTCATTGTAACCACACTCTATCTGTCTGCGCCTTGTTAGTTTCCTTGTTATCATCTCCTCTTCTGCTTTTTCTTAAATATTGATATTTCTTAAGTTTCTGTTCAGGGTCCTGAGTGATCTTATCCAATGACTTCAATTACTGTATCTGTACTGATGACTCAAATTTATCTTTCTGATAGCTCTCTCTCTCCAGCGCTTCTATATATCGAAATGCCTGCTAAATGTTTCCTCTGAGATACCACAAATACATTTCAGGTTTAACATGTTCAGAACTGAACTCACCTTTGCCTCAAAACTGCCTTCTTTTTGTTTCCTGTTTCAGTGAATTACAGTGCCATGCATATAGCTGTTCAACCCAAAAGTCCAAGAGTAATTCGGACTTCTTGCTCTTCCTCACTCCTCACACCTATGTCCTGTTTATTCAGTCTCTTAAATTTGTCCTATCTATTTACTTCTTTTCATCCTTACTGCTAGGCCACCATAATCTTTGACCTAGATTACTTTAATAGTCTTATGGTTGGTCCCTGCCCCAAACATTTTCAGCATTGTAGCCACATTAAACATCATGACTGTTTCATTTTCTGTCTTCCCACTAGAGTTTCTCTTTTGTTACATCCCAAGAACTTGTCACATAGTAACATTAATCATTTGTTCAATCAAAGAAATAGAGGAGAAAAGGAAAGAATGGCTTTCACTGGAGCGATTACAAATGAATTGATATCTTCAGAGTTTTTGTTATATTGAAGAGGTTGGTAAGAGGAGAGGGGTTAAATTTGGAGAAAAGTTTATCACAGAGAGAATTACACAGGGAGCAGTAGATCGAGCTAGTGACAAGGCTGTAGAAAATGTACATAAAGCAGAGCTTCCTAACTTGTGTGACATGCTGGTGTGCCAGAGTAGGTTACATGAGAAATTGGGCAGTACTTAGGGTGCCTGTATTCAAACCTACATCCATCTGACTCTGAAACTTATGTTCTTCCTAGTAAATGCTATTGCTGCAAAAATGAGATAGCTTTACCAACTGATGCCATTGATGTTAATAAGCTTTCATTTTACATAGTTATGAGGAAACCCAAAGATATACATTACAATTTTATAATTACTTTTATATAATGTTCTTAGAGATCATTTTAACGTACTTCTTGTTTGATGTTATTAAGTGTATATAAAATGAATGTTTAATGCTATACTTTTGAACTTGATTCTAGAATCAATTTGCTGTTTTCCTGTGTTAAGAAAGGAATTACTTTATAATACATATTTGTAATGTTCTGTCAATTTTATACTGTGATAATGTTCTATTTCTTTAGTCCTTATCTGAAAAACTCAATTCTTTAAATAAATAAAACCAAACAGTCTTGAGGCTCATATTTATCAATTATAATTATTTGAAAACTTCTGTTGTTTTTTGAACCTTTGCAACTTTTCTGTAAATTTAAAACTATCATTATAAAAACCTATCCTAAATAAATTAATGTGAATTAGTATTAGAAAAAATGATGAATTAGTATTTAGTTATGAAAACATCTAAATAACAGTTTCTTTATGTAAAGAGCTCTACTTTTTTCTAGAAAGTTTAAGGTAATTTTTCCCTTAACATTTAAGGTCAGCAAAGGAGGCAGAAGACAAAATTAAAAAGGCAATAGAAAAAGGAGAGACTCTTCCTACAGAGGCCAGATTTGATTCCAACTGCATTACACCAGGTAAATTCCCTGAGTAACAATTCCTGAGAGATTTAAAATGGAAATATTTTTAAATGTATTTTTTTTTAGCTTCTATTTATTTTGTCCCTAGGATTCTATTTGTTTTATTTTTCCAATTGTGTCTTCTCATGAGATGGCGTGGTCACCTTGGTCCTAAGTGCTCCTCTGAAGACCCACTGTAGGGATTTACAGATGTTGATAAGAGCTATAGACAAAATTCTCCTACATGCACAGAATTCCAAACCTGAAATGAACTTAGAAGATCTGTCCTAGCTCTGCCACTTATTTGTATGCAAACTGACTCAGTGAGCTTGTGGCTCACCCAAATTCACATAGCTAGCTTGTATTCTAGTCCACAGTGCTCACTGCCCTACTCCCAAAGGCAGTTAAGATTCCTGTGACTTTACAGATAAATGGAATTATCAATATTATAAGTTTAATTTTATATGCAACAACATACCTTGTACTTCCTTAGAGCTTTATCTAACATTATTGTAATCCTTTACTTTGGAAAAAAATCTTAAAATCTTACTTTTTGGTGAATTCCTTACTAACTGGTAATTTTCTTTTTTATTAAGTACCATAATCACACAATGCTTGGTTTAATAAGCAGTTTTATCCTGAGTGTGTTTTAAGATTGTATTGCCTTGACTGTTGACCATCGGGGCTTTTCATAAAACATCCTCAGTTTCCAGATTAATAATAACTTTTCCAGGTTAACAGTAGTAGTAATGATAGTTGCCTTTGTTGTTGTTGTTATGGGCAATCTGATTGAAGTTGCATGCCTAAAAGAAACCTTAGAATCCAGCAGAGGAAATATAAGATTGAGGCTCGTTAGATAGTTGAACTTCTGCCTTGTGTGAAAATATTTGAAGCATAGTCCTGAGGCAGTTGTAGTATTCCCTGACTTTTCCATGTGAGATAAACTTTCTTTTAGGGTAACCAATGAAATTAGAAACAGTTGTGATATGTGCTAGGGAAAGGTACAGCATTACCTGCTTTTCTAGAGAAGCACAAGAGCTTTTGACTTCCTATGCAGCTCTTACAGCTAGCTAACCCTGGACACCCAGATCCAATTGCTTGTTGTCACTGGCAACTCACTGTTTTTACGTCTCTCTCAGACTAAATTTTGTAAAATTTCTTATGTATAGGGACTGAATTCATGGCCAGGTTACATGAACATCTGAAGTATTTTGTAAATATGAAAATTTCTACAGACAAGTCGTGGCAAGGAGTTACCATCTACTTCTCAGGCCATGAGGTTATTATCTCTTTTTATCTAAAGTTTTTTTTTTAAATTTAATATCCTGATGCATATCATATTACCATTTTTTTTAATTAAAAAAACATTGTATTTAGACTCCTGGAGAAGGAGAACATAAAATCATGGAATTTATCAGATCCGAGAAAGCAAAGCCAGATCATGATCCCAACACCAGACACTGTCTTTATGGTTTAGATGCTGATTTGGTAAGTATAATATTTGTTGTTATTATAACCATAATTATGCTGTTGTAGTTAAATATCTAAGATCTCAATCTTTTACAAGAAACTTTCTGGCTGTGGAAACAAATATTGAAGACATAATCATGATTGCTACTTTTGCCATTTCCAAAACAATTGGAAAATGAGCTATTTTGCCATATGTTATGATCAGTAGGCCTCTATGATTACTGTTCACACTGGACTGGCCCTAATCCTATAAATGATCTGCCGAGGTCAGGGTAGAGGGCCTTTTTCACCCTCATGTTTAAAACATGACTTTGAATACCACCCGATTTGATAACCCCATGACTGAAATAACTTTACTAGATTTGGTTTAACTTTTTATTATGAAAATTTTCAAACACAAAAGAAGTAAAGAAGGTAGTATAGTGAACCAACTCATGTCCTTGATCCACCTTAAATAATTTTCACCTTCTATCCCTAACTATCTGTCTCCTTTCTCCTACTTCTCTGGGTTCTTGAAACATATCCCAGACGTTGTATCATTTCACCTATAAATATTTTATAGTGTTTCTCTAAAGGAGAGTATTATTTAAAAAAGAAAAAAACACAGCTCATTATCCCACATAAAACAAAAATTAGCAGTCACTGTTTAACATATTAATATAACCATTTAGTATTCTTATTTCCCTGGTTGCTTCATAAATGTTTCATTTTGTTTAGTTTGAATGAATACTGAAATAAAGTAAACAATATACATTGCAATTGGTTGGTATATCTTACTAGACTAACTTACTTTGGGGATTAGAATACTAAGTGAGAAGATTAACTGAAAATGCCCTTTTCCAGCTTTTTCTGAGTTTTTACATACTAGAAATATCCTGGCCTCCAGATGAGCCCTGTTTTCTTCTATTGGAAAAGCTACTGCCTTTAATTTTTTACTCATTCACCCATAGCAGGTAGAAAGTTGTGAAAACCAAGAGAAGATTTTCTGGATTTTTTTTTTGTTGGGGACAGGTTGTAAAAGTCATGTGAGTGTCTAAGGTAAACATTTTTTTTCTTAGCAAAGTGTACTCACTTCAACCCATTCATGCCTGTAAATGGATCAAATTAGTCATATTTTGATATTTGTAAATTTATTGTGCTAATAAATTGTTGTATTGTCCCTAACTAGTCATGTTCTTTATTTAGAAATGATTTTTATTTGATTGTTTTTGTGAACCTGATACTATAACATGAGAACAAAAACATTTCTTAATCATTTTTCAACAGATTATGCTTGGATTAACAAGTCACGAGGCACATTTCTCTCTTTTAAGAGAAGAGGTTCGGTTTGGTGGCAAAAAAACACAAAGGTAAATCATGCTGCATATATGTTGGAAGAAAAAACAGAAATTAAATTAAGAATAGTAATCCATAAACAGATATATGATCTTGTAAATGTTTTCTTCCATTCCGTGGGTTGCCCTTTCACTGTTGGTCATTTCATGCACAAAGTTTTTAATTGCGATGAAGTTGAATATGTTTTTTTCTTGTTTCCTGTACTTTTAGTGTAATGTTCATGAAATCATTGCCAAATCCAATGTCATAAAGCTTTTCCCCATTTTATTCTAACAGTTTTATAGCTTTAGCTCTTACATTTAGGTCTTTGATCCTAGTTGAATTAATTTTTGTATATGGTATAAGGTAAGGGTCCAACATCATTCTTTTGCGTGTGGATGTCCAGTTTTTCCACCACTTGTTGAAAAGTTTATCTTTTCCCTGTTAAATGGTCTTCACCCACTAGTTGAAAATCACTTGACCATGTATGCAAGGGTTTATGTCTGGGCTCTGTAGTCTGTTCCATTGGTATATATGTATGTCTTTATGTAAGTTCCACAGTATTTTCATTATTGTAGCTTTATAGTATGACGTGTGATCATACAATATGGTGAATGTTTAAATTTTTAAAAATATTTATTACAGTAAAAGAGTAAAAGACACATTGCCATTAATCCCCTTCAAAATACTCCCCCTCGCTTTGAACACACTTATCCCTTCATTCTTTCCACTTTCTGAAGCAGTTCTGAAGTCCTCTTTTGTGAGTGTCTTTAGTTGCCCTGTCGTGGTTGCCTCCGTGTCATGAATCATTTTGACATTGGGGAAGAGCCAGAAGTCACACGGTGCCAGATTTGGTGAATAAGGTGGATGAGGACACACCATATGCTTTTATTTGACAGAAACTGATGTACCAGAAGTGGTGTGTGTCATGGAGCATTGTCGTGATGGAGGATGGTTTACGACACACTTTATTTTTTATTTTTTTAAAGATTTTTTATTGGGGAATTGGGGGAAGGGGAACAGACAAGTTGCTGTTCTTTTCTTCTTCAGTCTAGTTGTGGAGGACATTGCTTCACTGGCCCAAGTTGGCACCATCATTGCGCTCTTCCCAGGGCAGTGTCATTGGCCCTCATATGTGAGATCT